TTTCTCTGGAGAGTTGCTAGGTTGCGTGTGGTTCTCCTCCTCCCTACTGTCTGTTTTCTAATTTGCCGTATGCGTTGGGACACTGTGTAGTTGGGACTGGCCGGCATCTTGGGTGGGCTTCTCTGCTCCCCTCTGGTTCCTCCAGGAGTCATCTGTCAGTTTCAAGCAGTCTTTACTGGAGAAAGGTCCCTGTTCTAAAATGCCGATGTGGGGACACACTCCCCTGTGCGCCTGGTCCGCCCCGGCGGTGGGTTCCTGCTCCCCCTCTGGGCTTGGACTGCAGGCCAGAGGGGGTCTGGCGTGGGCGAACTTCCCCCGCTCACCTCTGGCTCCTGAGGAAGCCTTCTGCAGGTAGTCTTTACTGAAGAAATGTCCCTATTCTATAATGGTGATGTGGGATACACTCCCTGTGCGTCCGGTCTCAGGCACACTCTTCTGCGCGCTTGGTCTGCCCCGGCTGTGGGTGCTCGCTCTCCCTGTGGGCTCAGACTACTTGTTTGGAAGGGGCCCGGCGTGGGCTCACTCCCCAGCTGGCCACTAGCTCCTTCAGGAGCCTGTGCTGGCTTCAAGTCGCTAGGTGGCGCCAGAGATCTCTCCTAGAGCCCTTGGGGAGCTGATTTTCCACCCCGTGGGACAGGGAGCAGAGCGGGGATGGTAGGGTACACCTCAACGACTTTGGGGTGCTGTGTCTGCCTTGTGCCCCACCGTCGTGGGGAACCCACGCCCCTAATTTCGTGCCCCGGGTCTCAGTTCCAAAGCCCTCAGTTCCAGGACGCGGGCTGTAGCCCAGATCAGTGGCACGGGAATGGCGCCTTTTGAATCCCGCTCCCGTGCCTGGGCACCTGGTTCTTGCTCACTCAGGGAGGGCCTCCGCGCGTCTCCCCGGGCGGCCGGGGCTGTGTGCTGGTGCTGGCCTCCTCCTGGGCGGGGTCTCTCTTCAATGGCGCCCGGAGCTCACCTCCGCGGCGGATCCTGCAGGGTTCTCCACAGCTCCCGTTCACGGGGTGTGGTGGCTGAAATAGTTCCTTTCCACTCACAGTCCCGCTTGCTGCGTCGTTTGTTCTTGTGGGTCGTTTTAGTTTGTTGTTTTCTCTGCCGGTCGGAGAGTGCCACCTCTGTGGGCGGGGGAGGGGAGCAGGGTTCTGCGCTTCCCTCCCTTCTAGTCCTCTTTTATGGCAACTTTCTTCTTCGGGCAGTTTGCTGGCGTCACCCGTTTATCTTCCGTGTCCCAGTTCTCACTGGGACCTGCCGCTTTTCCTCCCTATTAACTTTTTTTTTAATGGGAGATCTTACTCGCAGCGTCTCCTCGCCGCCATGTTGCTCCGCCCCCCCACAATGGTTTATTAATTACACTCTACTACAGGATAAATCACAACTCCTTAAAATAGAAAACAAAAACTAAAACAAAATGAAAGACACCCATGGAAAAACAGAGAACTTTGGGGCTCCCTGGTGGCGCAAGGGGTTAAGCAACGCACTATGAAGCAATCTGCAGCCTCTGCAGCACGAGTTTGATGCCCAGCCAGCCAGGGAGCTACCCACATGGCGAGGCAGACCTCTCCTGCCTCACCTGCTGCTCCCCTTAGCAGTGTGTTTCAGTCAGTCTACCTGTTCTGTTCCCTACTCTGTCTTTTGTGAATCCTCTCACCCTCCACACCTCTGGCCTGTACCCCAGCTCTTGTATGCATAAATAAATAAATCTTTAAAAAAAAAAACAAAACAAAACAGAGAACTCTGCAAATAACAGAAACTATTTTAAATAAATAATTAAAACATAGATGGAGCAATGGGTGGGGATTTAAGTGAAAAGCAGCTTCAATGTCCTTCATGTAGAGCTTTCCTAACCCTGGAAACCTTTCCCCACCCTATCCAGACTATCTCCCACCTGCACCCCAACACACAGACCACACTAGTCCCCTTCAACTTGTCACCTCCCATTCCTGGGAGGGAGAGTTTCTAGGGGAACACATACAAATCACCTCAGTAAATACTTACTAACCACCTCCTACGTATTAGTTAATCTGGTCTTTCATGCAAAAATACAAACCACCAAGAAGATAACTAGGAAAAAGCAATAGCAGAAAAGACAAGGAAGAAAATGAATCAATTAACTCCAAAAGAAACAAATAATTCAGAGATGAGAGGAAGATGTCCTTTGAAGAAAAATTCTTAAATGCCATTCAAGAAGAAGTGTCAGATACAGAACCAGGGTAACTGGCCACAGATAAGAAACAGTCAGAAAACAAGAAAAAGTACTTAGAAATTAAAACTAATTTTCCAAATTAAAAAATGCAATAGGCAATTTATAAAGGAAAAACTAAAGCCCAAGTTAAGAGCTGGGAAGTAGAGAGGCATGGAAAAGATTCAGGAAACTCATCCATCCACTGGTAGTAGCAGAAGGAGAAAAGAGATGTTGGAAGGAGCAAAATAAGAGAGATAATTTCCCTGAGCTAAAAATGTCAGATTGAAAGGGGCAAGAAGAATGAAGCAGGACCCACACCTAGACACATCCCAGGGAAAATCCTTGAAGGGCAAATAAACGAGACAGCCATCCGATTTCTAAACAGTAGCAAATGGGGGTGGAATACAAGGAAACAAGTTCTTCAGTGTTGTGAGGAGCAAGGGTTACAGCACGTTCCATAAAGTACAATACCATGGATCTTAGAAACACCAGAAGAGGTTGCGTTAAACTATGACGAGTCCCTGAGTGTAAAACACATCCCAGTTTCAAAGGTGTTAAAATGTGGGGGAAAGTGAAACTTAGAATTGATGAAATATAACACCTACGTTCAGACAAATTGTCAATCAGTTTGAGGATAAAATAAAGCCATTTCCAAAAACTCCATAAATCCATGTCTCTAAAAAACTCCCTTGAGTAGGTGCTCAAGGAGAGCAAGAGAAAAATCTAAACAGACAAGATGAGCCACAAGAGTTACACATGAGTGCAAGAACAAAGGAGGCACATATATTACGTGTGTGTATGTACATGTATGTGTACACATAATCAGGTGTGCATATATACACAGACCTGCAATATGAATATGCTTCATTAAACTGGGATGATTCAAAGTATTTCATTTGATAATCCATTTCTCTGGCTCCAGCTATACTACTACTTGCAGAAACAATGATTTATTCAGGGCCTGCCTGGTGGCTCAGGGGTTAAAGACAGCTCTATCAAGCTATCGCTAGCCACTGCAGCAAAAGTTTGATTCTCTGGGCAGCCAGGGATCAACCCACTTGGCATAGCAGACCTCGCCTGTCTTGCCCGCTGCTCCCCCCAGCAGTGTGTTTCAGTAAATCTGCCTGTTCTACTCCCCACTCTGTCTCTGGTGAATCCTCTCACCCCCCCACACCTCTGGTCTACACCCTAGTTCTTGTATGCCAAAATAAATAAATCCTTTTTTAAAAAAAGAATGATTTATTCATGATACACCATGTCACCACCTGTTACTGGTTGTCAATTTTTAGAATCAATCCATAGAGGAAGCAGGGAAAATTCAAAGAACAGAATGTAAATGACACAAGTAAAATTACGAGACAAAATTCAACAAGTGGGACTGATTGACGTGGGCCACACTACCCATGCTGTCTAATGACATGGTCCACGCAATGGGGGAGACTCCCAAGAAGAGGGGAATTTCTACACTCCCCAGAAGAGGTGAACACAGGCGTTTCCACAGCAATGCCTACTAAAATTCTTGTTTGTCTTTGGTTAATACAAAAATAAGTTAGTTATAAATTGGCTTGTGAAAACCTAATTCAGATTAAGGCGTCAATTGGCCTGTTGTTCTTACGCATGAATTATCACAAAAGAAAGAAAAATTGCTAAAGGTATAGTTAGGAAAGATGTGTTTTGGCTCTGAGAACTATGGAGAACAAGCTGTCCTGAACCAACTGTGCTTGGAAAGCATGGCCTACTGGGGTTGGGGCGGGTGAGGAAGAAACGGGACATATTTGTGGGAGCAGTACATTTCATGGTATATGCAAAAGGTCAATAGTTCGCAGGTGGTATGGAGGTTAGGTATTTCTGGTTAAGAGTTAGATTTCTGTAGAAATAAAATAGATTTGATGAGCTACTTTAGGTTGCTTTGAAGTAAATGATAGATTAGCTAGATTATTTGTGTGTTAGGGAAATGGGTTGATTAAGCAACAAAATATAGGGTAAGACATTAACGCCCATTCCGGTATAAGGGAGTTTGAAAGAATGATTAATTGTTACCAGATATTGTGCTGTCTTAGGTGACTGATCATGCTGGGAAAATGAGATGTACCAAGAAAACTGATTGTTCCTGATGTTTTTCTTAAGATGATCAAAGAGGTGCCCTTTTTGGTATGAGGCCAAGAGGGTCTCCACATGCCCATGAGAAAATATGTAATGATTGCCTTTGTTTTGCTTTATTGCTTATGTTGATGTAATCTTACTGCCTGCTTTGCTGTATAAAGAAAGACCCACTGAGGCCCTCAGCAGGAGATACTTGCACTAGACAGAGTATCTGTATCTGCCTCAATAGCTGTTTCGCCGACGCTGTCCATCCTTTCAGGAACCCCTGACACTTGACTAGCTGGAGCTGGCTTCCGGCAACTGATTTGTTGTACCTCATTTTACAATTATCAGGTAATAGATGCTTTTCCCAAATTGATAAACCAAGAAATCGAGACAGAAGTGCATTTTAAATTGTTGGCTGTGATTGTTGCTGAGGATTAGGCGTAATTTTTAACTCCTATTCTGTCTGAATTTGTTTCTTTTTTATTGTGTGCCTGCATAGGAGAAGAAAAAAATCCTGTCCAAAGGCAGAGCTGGCGAAGTTCCCAGAATATCATAGATACTCTGGTTCTAACTTTCCAATAAAGGAAACAAGTTTTCCAAAGATTGGGGTTGGAGGGGTCCTCACTCTCATCTTCATAGACCAAGAAAAGATAGACTGGTTTGCATCCAACACCACAGAACCAGTTTTATCCCACATCAAAATAAAAAGTTATTTCACCAGAGGCTGTACCTGATACGTCCTTAGAACACGCAGCCAGCTTTTCCAAGTGACTGTTGATTTTGTCAATGGCTCTGAAGTTCTTATTCCTCTTCAGGATGTCCACGACGGACCGGGACTGCCGATCTACCAGGGTGGGGTCTGCCCCGTAGCGCAGGAGCATCTGCACATCCTCTGTTTGTCCTGGGGTGGGCCAGAAGGAGAAGGGGGCCTTGGCATGGTTCCTTCTGTAAGGAGCCGTCCCCATGGGTGCGAAATCCCCCAGTTCCCTGCCCAAGCAGCCCAGGGTAAGGGGAACAAGGTCTCTTTGCCTGTAGGACCTGAACCGCAGACCTTAGGCAGTCCACCCAAGTCCCAAAGCAAGGAGTTCTGTCTAGAGTGGGAAGGACAATAGCTTTTCAGAGCTCAGAAGTGCGCTCCTCTCTCTACCTTTCTCCCCTCTCCTTGGCAACAAGCAGGGAGAGGGGGAATCTGGTTACTAGGCAACAGTTACAGCTGTAAGGATAACAGCAAGCTGTGACTTCAGATTTCTTTATTCCCTGGACAGGAAACAGAATATTCTTCCAGAAAGAAAAAAAAAAAAATCCTATCTGGGGTCAGGAAAAGAAAATGGCAATTGCTTTCACACCAGGGTCTTTTTGTTGTCAATGTTTTCCCCAGGCCCCTGGGTGCCAGCTCCATATGCTGCTTTGGCATAGCTAGTGCCAAGCATCAAGTTTTCAAAATGGAACAGGTGTATCTTGGAGAACAAAGCCTTACTGTGGGCACAGAATTTCGGGAATCAAGGCTTGATCCTATACAGAAAGCTAAAATGCACAGCCCCACCAAGGCAACTGCACTGGGTATGGTCCTGCCGGCCTCTCCACCCCCCACCCCCATCACACCTGCCCATCTCCCATTTCACAAAAATAAGACAAAATTAAAAAGTCATACTTCTTGCCCATTAACAATCTCACTTGGTGGGCAGAATTCTAAGCTAGACCCTGAGAATTCCAAGTCCTGACATAAACACACCTTCTCCCAATTAGTCCATCAAATACTAACTTAGGTGCTGCTGTGTTGAGGCTGTGTAAATGTCATTAAAATCTCAAAGCAGGGCCTCCCTGGTGGTACAGCAGGTTGAGCGCAGCGATGTGAAGCTGTCCACAGCCTCTGCAGCGCCGGTTTGATTCCCTGCCAGCTGGGGAGAATCCCACATGGCGCAGCAGACCTCTCCTGTCTCACCCACTGCTCGCCTCAGCAGTGTTATTTCAGTCAGTCTGCCTGTTCTGCTCCCCACTCTGTCTCTGGTGATGCCTCTCACCCCCCATATCTCTGGCCTGTACCCCAGCTCTTGTATGCATAAATAAATAAATCTTTTAAAAAAAAAAGAACTGGGGTGCAGGCCAGAGGTGTGGGGGGAGGGGTGGGTGTGCGTGTGAGAGGATTCACCAGAGACTAAGTGGGGAACAGAACAGGTAAATTGACCGAGATACACTGCTGAGGGAAGCAGTGGGCGAAACAGGAGAAGTCTACTGTGTATGTGGGTAGCTCCCTGGCTGGGGATCGAAATCGTGCTGCAGTAGCTGCAGATAGCTTCATAGTTGTGCCTTAACCCCTTGTGCCACCAGGGAGGCCCCACATGTCCATAATTTTTAAGTGGATATCAGAAGATATCAAATTGGTGTGTATTTATGTTCTATGATATACAAGTAAAGGAGTGAGATAAGTTTTCCTTTAAAATATCAATGTGGGGGCCTCCCCGGTGGCGCAGCGGTTGAGCGCTGGCTTGCGAAGCTGCCCGCGGCCTCTGCGGCGCCGGTTCGATCCCCGGCTGCTCCCCGGCCACCAGAGGAGGGTCCCACATGGCCCGCAGACCTCTCCTGCCACCCGCTGCTCCCCTCAGCAGTGTACTTCGATCCTTCTGCCTGCTCTGCTCCCCGCTCTGGCTCTGGTGAATTCTCTCACCCTCCCGGCTTCTGACTGTACCCAGTGCATGTATAAACAAAACAAACAGATAAATAAGACATGCCTCTAGAAAATTAAAAAAAATAAATAAAATAAAAAAAAAAAAAAAAAAAAATAAAATATCAATGTGGGCCTCCCCGGTGGCGCAGCGGTTGAGCGTTGGGTTGCGAAGCTGCCCGCAGTCTCTGCAGCGCCGGTTCCATCCCCGGCTGCTCCCTGGCCACCGGAGGAGGGTCCCACATGGCGCGCAGACCTCTCCTGCCGCCTGCTGCTCCCCTCAGCAGTGTCCTTCGGTCCTTCTGCCTGCTCTGATCCCCGCTCTGGCTCTGGTGAATTCTCTCACCCTCCCGCACTTCTGACTGTACCCAGTGCTTGTATAAATAAATAAATAAATAAATAAATAAATAAATATTTAAAAATAAAATAAAATAAAATAAAATATCAATGTGTACATAATTTTAAAAATTACCTTTTCTTAGAAGTATTTAGACTCACAGATAAAAAAAATTTAGTATTGGCAAAGAGGTACACAGGTTTCTTCTCACCTCCCATCCACTAGATTGGAGTTCTTTATTACTTTTACCTCACAGAGCACTAACATTTTTATAGAAGAAATGTGCTTGTCTCCATCCAAAAGAGAAAAAACAAAGCTTGAGAGGTGTGAGAGTTTCCAGAAAAAAGTAGAGAGGGCCTCCCTGGTGGTGCCAAGGATTAAGAAGCAACCTATGAAGCTATCGGCAGCCACTGCAGTGAGTTCAATCCCCAGCCAGGGAGCTATCCACATGGTGCAGCAGACCTCTCCTGTCTTGCCCGCTGCTCCCCTCAGCAGTGGGTCTGCCCATTCTGCTCCCCACTCTGTCTCTGGTGAATCCTCACCACTCGCATCTCTGGCCTATACCCCAGCTCTGGTATACATAAATAAATAAATCTTTTTTTTAAAAAAAAGGAGTGATGTTGGGAGAGACCCCACACAGCCAAGCAGATGGGCCTTAACCTAAGTCTCTAAGGCATGTGAAAACATATGTGTCTTGGAGGAAAACCTCGAGTGACCGGACCTGGTGTTGAGTGCCCGAATGTGACCTGTGTAGAGTCATACTTCAGTATCTTCACAGCCAAAAATGAATTAGGAGAAAAACTCCTCTGCTCTAGCTAGTGGATGATTAGATTGCGTATAGGACCTGACCACCTGGTGTTCAGAAGTCGGGAGCAGGCAGTTATCAGTAGCAAATAGAATAATTAATCACTTAAATTGTCACTGTATGGTATGCTTTGATGTTGTGCTTAATGCACTCCGAAAAGGTATATAATGAGCACTAAGAAAATAAAGATTCACTGCATGCTGGACATGACAGTCCCCCGTGTCTGATTTCCTTCACTGTTGTATCCCAGGTCCAGGACTCACTAGAAGTCCACAAGTGTCACCCGAACAGGGACCTGAAGGGGATACCATCTACTAAAGTGACAAGGTGATGACGGCGTCGGTGAAGTTTACATAAAGTGGTGAGGGGAAACAAGGGGAAAAATACAGCATGGGGCATTCTTCTTCTCATCTTTCTACTTTTGCTTCTTTGTTGAAACATTTATTAGCAGAAAACGGGGCAAAATTCCCACTCTCTCAAATTCTTGATTCTTTATATGTTGTTACTAAATGTAACCTGTGGTTTTCAGAGGACAGGTGGTTAGATATAGAAACTCAAAAATGAGTAAGAGATAATGTGACATGATCTTATAAATGGAGGAAGAAATGCTTCAAGCTTTTCCTGTCAATTATTTGGGGAGGAGGCCAGGTGGTCAGGTCCTATACGTAATCTAATCATCCACTAGCTAGAGCAGAGGAGTTTTTCTCCTAATTCATTTTTGGCTGTGGAGATACTGAGGCATGACTCTACGCAGGTCACATTCTGGGCACTCAACACCAGGTCCGGTCACTCAGGTCTTCCTCCAAGACGCATGTGTTTTCACATGCCTTAGAGACTTAGATTAAGGCCCATCTGGGGCCTCCCCGGTGGCGCAGCGGTTGAGCGCTGGGTTGCGAAGCTGCCCGTGGCCTCTGCGGCGCCAGTTCGATCCCCAGCTGCTCCCCGACCCCCGGAGGAGGGTCCCACATGGCGTGCAGACCTCTCCTGCCACCCGCTGCTCCCCTCAGCAGTGTACTTCGGTCCTTCTGCCTGCTCTGCTCCCTGCTCTGGCTCTGGTGAATTCTCTCACCCTCCTGCACTTCTGACTGTACCCAGTGCTTGTATAAACAAAACAAACGAACAAACAAACAAACAAATAAATAAATAAAACATGCCTCTATAAAAAAAAAAAAAAAAAAAAGGCCCATCTGCTCGTTGCGCAGGGTCTCTCCCAACAGGGGTACCTAAAGAGAGGTGTGTGGCAATGCACAGGCTAGCCCGGTAGGTCTTTGGGAAAAGAACCAGCTTGCCCACGCCTGCCTCACTCTTGCACATGGTCTATCTGGGTCTGGAAGCCAATTCTGGTGTTTGATTTTAAGTGCCATGAAGGCAGAACCCTGTTGTCTGAAGCACAATTCACCTCTGGTGGCACAGGGGGAGCATAAAATATAGCACCTAGTAATTGAACAACTTAGTAGGGTGATGAGGGAGGAGACGAACACAGCCAGCAGCCATGTCCCTGAGCCCATGGAAGCCACTGAAAGCAAAAAGAACACCTGGTGCCCAGATGTTCTTTCTTCTCTCACCTGCCTCCTTCCTGCATCCAACCTATCCCTGCCAACCCTGTTAATGCCAGGCAAAGGTTAGACCTCCTAGTCTGCCACAGGATAAATGGTAAAACACAGTGGTCCACTCTGGGGTTCTCCTGTGGCTGAAATGATCCAGCTAAGCACACACTCCAGGGAGGTGCTGCTACTCACGCTTGGTAAGGTACCCTGGGGAGTGGGCGGCCACCACGTGCAGGACCGTGCAGCCATCCTCATCCTTCTGGTTGATGCGGCCTTTCCACTCAGGTCTATGGTCCATCAGCCACCTGAAAAGTTGGTTTTCCTCTGAAGGGAAATAAAATAAGTTACTGATGTTATTTTCTACATACAGAAAATCAACACAGCAAATCAATCTGTACCACACTAGGGGACCACATGGAGACCCCAACATACCTTACCATGCACCAGGAACAGATGTGGGAGAAAGGAGTAGGTAAACTAAAAGGATGAGCTGTGGAAAGTTATTCATAACAAGGACTCCCTGGTGGCACAGGAGTTGAAGTCTCAGCACTATGAAGCTATCGGCAGCCACTGCAGTATGAGTTTGATCCGGGCCAGGGAGCTACCCACATGGTGCAGCAGACCTCTTCTGACTCGCCGGCTGCTCCCCTTGGCAGTGTGTTTCAGTTGATCTGTTAGTTCTGTTCCCCACTCTGTCTCTGGTGAAGACTCTCACCCCCATGCACCTCTGGCCTGTACTTCAGTTTTTGTATGCATAAATAAATAAATCTTAAAAATGAAAAATAAGTCAATATCTCCAATGCCACCCTACTAACAATAGGACATGTGGTTTAAATTCCTTCCCCAGACTCCTCCTCATTGCTCCAAGAGGAAGGAAAGCCACACACTTCTGCCAAATCTGTGGACACCATTTGCTACTGGGGCTTCGCTCTGAGGAATATATCAGGGACAAACTTTGAAGACTTGATCTTATCAGTGCCAGCCTATAACCACAGGAGCTAAATCAAAGAGCAGATACAACAGGGAATCACAAATTTCATAAGCACAGACATACCTCTCTGAGTTCTAGACTCCCAGTTCCAAACTCCCAATTTGAAACTGGGAGGAGTGGCTTAGGTTGTTTTTAATCAATTTTATTTTTAAATGTTTTATCCACCAATTCCTCTTTAGGAACAATATTTCTTTTGGATCCCTCAGTCGGTGGAATAGATAACAACAGGGCAAATCTGGCTAAAGCAGAGAAGGTAGCCCAGGTCTTCAAGACCCTGCTCACTACCCAGCACCTCAATATGGTGGAGATGATCCATTCCAGAAAAGGAAGACTGCCTAAGCAAGTTCTTTTGTCTCTCTAGCTCTAAATGGTATGGATAACCTCCAACAGTAATGTCATATATGCTTCGAAAAGACAAACAAGCTTCTGGTTAAAGTGTGGGTGTATATATATTTTAATAATAAAATTAAAATATATTTTAATAATAAAATTAAAATATATTTTAATAAAATTTAAAAATTTAAAAAATTTAAAGCCTATAGCCAGGTGACACTTTTTTTTTTTTAAAAAAAGATTTTTATGAAAATAGGAGTCCTTTAAAAAAACCACAATTGAACTGTATGGGCAATAGCCAATATTCCCTTGGAGACTGCCCCCACTCCATCCTACCCCCACCCCTGAGCTGCCTTTGTCAGAGGAAGTAAACTCCATGGTCCTCATGGGGGCTCTGGCCAGCAAAGGCTGGCTGTCCCAAGTCTCCTCCTTGGCAGGAACTGTCTAGAAACAGAATTCTTTCCACTTGGGCTTCATGCAGCTACCAGGTCCCAGGAGAAATAAAATGATGCTGCTTTCCTGCTGCCTTCATTCATTTGAATAATTGAATCATTTGCATAATCGAACATTTAAATAACCAATTATTTGAATAATCAAATATTTGACTATTCAAATGATTTGAATATTCTACAATCAAGTGATCACATTCTGGTTTCGATTGTGCTTAGCAGATTCCAGGAGCTCAGAGCTGGAAGGGCAGCCTGGAGGGTGTATTGTCGGAACTCACTCGCTTGGATGCAGAGTCTCATGAGGGCATGAAGTGGGTACGGTCCTATGGTCTCAATATTTGCACCCAGGGAGATGAGCCACTGGACTAACTTGGGAACCTCTTCCATTTTCTCATAAAATCCAATAAAGACATATTTCTGGAAAAGAGAAAAGAAAAACCACAAATGCATGGAAGGAATCATAGAAGTCACTACATCAATATGAAATTTTAAACTTCTTCCATAAAGTTTGGAATCAGTGAAATCTGGATTAGTTATGGCTCAAAGCTTATTTTTATAATTAACAAATTTGTGGCAGGAAGCTGAAGGGGAAGATGCAAACCTGAGTGGCTTGACTTGAAACCATGATTCAAGCCACCTTACCTCAAAGAGACTTTTCAGTGATAAGCCTGGGACATGGATATTTCTTGGTAGTCGGTCCTTTTTTGCTGACAGTAGTAGAAATGACTGATGGAAGGGAAGAAAAAGAAAATGTTGGAGTAATAAAGTCCTCCAAACAGGTTATTAGAGCACAAGTTATCTTAATCTTTAACAGGAACAACAAAACAAAACACCCTCTAGCGCTATCTCTTTTTTAAGCTACCTGCCAAGCTTTTCAGCTTAAGCCATAATAATCATGAACCCTTGAACAGTCTAGCTGGCTTCCTGTTCTTGCTGTGAGCTAAGCTTCCTCCACACTTTCTCAAAGGCAGCTGAGGACAGGAGCTGATATCAAGCACATTACAGAGAACATAATAGCAGTGGGGTAAAATAATTTCCTGCAAAGTTCTTAAAGCTTAGCAGGCAAAAGCATCAAATCCTTCAGAAAACCCCATCCTATGGTCTCACTCATAGCAGGAATCTAGAAAACTTAAATAAGGGACCAGGAAAATGAATATAAGAAAGTGAAAATCAAAATCAACAAAAAACTATGAACCAGAGACACTTTTTGGGGGGTGGGGTGCGGGAGGGGAAGGATTGGGGTCAGAATGGGGCGTTTGCAATTGTATGGGGGAATATAAAAATAAAATTTAATATTTAAAAAAATAAAAAATAAAAATAAAAGTTGAAATGCCAAAAAAAAAAAAAAAAAAAAAAAAAGAAAACCCCATCCTAATCAATTCATTAGCTCATGGGTGTTTCAGAAGTCCCAAGTATTCAGGGTCCATAAGACTCTACTGAGCAGAGCTGCACCTGGTCCCTATCACTAGAGAGAGAGCTCACTGGACACATCCTTACCCAGCTCCTGGTTCTGTAGCCATATTAGTAGCTGGAAATTGACCAAGTGATAGCATTTACACTATAGGGATTGGCAAGTGCAATAAATTGGTACTTTTTTTTTTTTTTTTTTTTGCAGAGAGCCAGTTAAAACCACTAACCCTATTTAAATTCACTGAAGAAACTGAATGCCAGAGTAGTTAAGCAATTTTTCCTAGGTCACACAGAGAGTACATCCCAAGAGACCCCTGCTGAGATCATCCAGTTATGCTAACAACCTTATGGGGTGCTCTTGTTTTTGGTGATTTTCTGGATTGCCAGCATCAGGAAGCACAGCAGACCCTTTTAACTAAACCCCAGCCTAGACTGGCCCATTCTCATGAGTGCTTCTAAGCCACCATCAGATGACTACTATTCTTGGGGGACTTGGCATATGCCAGGCATTACAAAACTCCTTTAGCTCAGTGCCTGGCACACTGTAAGCCCCCAATAAACATTAGCTGATATTCTTAGGAGGTGCTCTTGGCTCATTATTTCTAATCCTTCTAATCCCTGAGGGAACAGGTTTACATCCTGCAATTTATAAATGAGGAAATGAAACTCAGAGGGAAGTAGTTAGCCCAAAATAGCAAGTAGAGGATTAGGATTCAAGAGGATATCTGTGGGCCTCCCCTAGTGACGCAGAGGTTGAGCGCTGGGCTGCGAAGCTGCCCACAGCCTCTGCAGCGCCGGTTCGATCCCCGGCCACCGGAGAGGGTCTCACATGGCGCGCAGACCTCTCCTGACGCGCCCGCTGCTCCCCTCAGCAGTGTACTTCGGTCCTTCTGCCTGTTCTGTTCCCCACTCTGCTCTGGTGAATTCTCTCACCCTCCCGTGCTTCTGACTGTACCCAGTGCTTGTATAAATAAATAAATAAATACATCTTAAAAAGAGAAGAAGCAAAGCACTTCTTATTTAAAAAAAAAAAAGAAGGTATCTGCATAACACTCAGGCCTAGTCTCCACAGTCCACTTTGCTACTCGACTGTGGCCCTGGCCTTGGGCCCTAGGGCCTCATTTTTCAGCTACCCACATGTTAGCAGCCCCTTAAAGTTCTACAAAAATCCTCTGGGCAGCACAGGCAGGTCATCTGGGCCCACACTAGCAAATGCAATTGTAGGGTAAGGAAAAATGTCAGGCTTTTCTGCCCTCCTGCCATCAGGATAGATGATGGATCCTTGAGGTCCTGAATGCATGCCTGATGGCGGGCACCTGGAATAGGGTGTGGGCATAGGTAGATGGGATTCACCTGGGCTAAGACTGTGCTTTTAAGGGCGGCGTCACGGGGACGCCAGCAGCAGCAGAAGCCAAAAGAGAAGCCGAGAGAGAAGCTGAGAAGAAGCAGCAGAAGCAGAGAACGCCAGAGAGCCCAGATAGAGTGAGGATTTGCTGGGGGTTGGGAGGACTGCCAGCCTCCTGGCCCCCCAGCACCCCTGCCTGCCATATGCCTGGTGAACCCCAATAAAAGACCTGCAAAAAACCACTGAGGACTCTGACTCCTCCTTTACCCGGTCTGCATGGGATCCTAGAAAACCTGCACTGTGTCCTGTCCTGCCCTTACAGCAATATAAAAAGAATTATGAAGATGAACATACAATTGTTTATTTTCCTCATTCCACATTACCACTATCACCTAGACTTTACATTTTTTTGAAGACAAGTGACACAGCAAGACATGAGGTTGACACAAACTGAGTATTTTTCCTATCTTAAAAAGAAATAGAGGGCCTCCCCTCATGGCGCAGTGGTTGAGTGCTGGGCTGCGAATCTGCCTGCATCCTCTGCAGTGCCGGTTCGATCCCCGGCCGCCTGCGAGGGTCCCACATGGCGCGACAGACCTCTCCTGCCATGCCCCCTGCTCCCCTCAGCAGTGTATTTCATTAGTCTGCCCATTCTGTTCCTGGCTCTGGCTCTGGTGAATTCTCTCACCCTCCCGCACTTCTGACTGTACCCAGTGCTTGCATAAATTAATAAATCTTAAAAAAAAAGAAAAGAAAGAAACTAGTAAGTTAATATATCTCAGCAACGTGCCATCTTTGATGATATTACAGTTATAAAGTTATTTGGTATCAATAGAAACATATAAGAAATTATAATCTCCCAAGACCAGCAGAGAAATCTCCCAAAGCCAGCATCAAGAATCTATTTTCCCTACAAGACAGCCATGTCCTTTTACTTACATGCCATAATCCTTTCTTTGACAATTTTTCTATTACAGATCGCCACACTTCTGTTGAGAATCCAGCTGTGAAAATACGGTCAAAGCAGGGCAAGAAACTTTGCAAAACAAAGGGATCACCTGAAAGAAAATTCCAAAAGAAGATTTTAAATTGGGAAAAAGTCTAAGTAGACCATTTGGGAAAAGTCCTCCAATTAGTTCTACACAAAGAAATATGGTAAATTTAAAGATAATCAGGACGAAGATAATCAGGATTGTCATGTCATTTTCAAAATAGAAAGCTCTACAGAATCAAAGTAGCCAGCATTTTAAGTTCACTCTTAAAATTAACCTCTTAACTAAGAGTTGGCATCCTGTGAGTTAACACTCTTTCTGTTTGCTAAGCCCACTGATAAGTGCTTCTATTAATCCCTCCAACCAACCAGTAAAATAGCGCAACCAATCTCCATTTACAAAGGAGTAAATGGAAGGTTAAGGGACCCACTTCCTTTAAAAAAGGTAGGAGAACCAAATAAGACATCAGTGTAAAAAAATAATAATACAAACAACAAAACAAAAACAGATGTTTATAAATCACAAACATCCTGCAGGGGAGGAGGAGGGAGAGGGATCTAGAGGGAAGGAGGGAGGAGCACAGGCAATGTGGTGATGGTGCACGGGTGCACTGGTGAAGGAAATTCTATGGGGACTACACTTGAGCGAGTCGGGGGAAACAAATATTGTTTAAAAAATGAACAATGATGTAAAAAATAAAGGGGAAAAAAAGAAAGGTGTGACAAGTATTTTCACTCAACCCATGAGAAACTATGACAAATGAGGTCAGGTTTCATGGTGGATGGTGCAGCTAGTTCATGGCAAAACGATGATAACCGAGGGATCCATCGACCTACTGTGTCTCATGATCCTCAAGCCTCAACTCATTTCTCAAATTCATGCACGAGAACATACAAGGGAACAAGTCAGGTGTCAGAATAATATGGCACCTCTTCCAGGGCTATCAATTCCCAATGATGGGTAAAGAGCACATGTATTGTATGAAAGCATGCAAAATTTCCATAAATATATTTTTAAATATTTAAAAATACCTGAAAATCATGGGGAAGAACAAATAGCATATAAAACAAGGATTATAAGTAGGGAAATCTCTTTGAATAGCAATACAGAAAACTTAAGAAGTCTGAGACAAAATTTGGAAAGTCTGAAGTCAATTGTGCAAAAGAACTTAGTTGTTTTTACAAAGGCATGAGCCAGCCAAACTTTCAAAATGTTTCCCTATGTGGAAATCAGTTTCATTCTAATCAGTTTCAAACTCCTTAAATCAGCCACAGAGAAACAACTTGGAATTATTTCCCTAGGAGCCCAAGTCTCCAGAAGCCAGTCAAATAACAACAAGGACTTCTTTTAAAAAACAAGGAAAAAAAAAAGAAAAAGCAACTTACTGCCCATGGTAGTGAAGATTCCCACAAGGAAATCAGCAACCTGGGACTGGTCTTGGTTGCCTTGCAGGAGGCGTAGACCCTCGAAAAACATGTGAGCAGCTTCGTAAGGCTGGACCAACCTCAACAAGGAATAACCAGCACGATAATATCCCTGGAACAGGAAAAAAGCAAAATTGAATACACCCATCTCTTCTAACCTGCTGCTGAAAGGGAAGACAAGATTGATGGCATGGAGAAGAGGATTCTAGGGGTCTCGCTTCATGTAAACACAGGTTTCTAACAAGCTCTGGACAAGAATTTCCCCATTACATTCTGTGCCACTTTTTTTTAACTGCCAAGAATCACTTTCCAATCCATGATTTATACTGCATCTAAAATATGGCACAGAGAAGGAAGTGGGCCTGGTTCCAATTATATGTGTGGTTTATTTATTCACGCCTCAAACCACAGCCTGCGGGTAAAGAGAAGAATGAAAAAATCCTATGGCTTTGGTAATGGTCAGGAAGAGAAGGAGATTGTCATGTAAACACAAGTGTTCCTTGCTCCACTCAGTCAAAGTTAATACAATTTCCACTGGTTCTGTAGGGGGGAATCGTAGTTATAGGCATTGAGATTTACAGAGCTCTACATTATAGGCATTATATGGCAGAATTTTTTTTATTTCCATAGAGCTAGGATAATTACAGTGATTAACAGAAGAAAATTATCTGATTCTGCCTGTATATCAACCCTAGGACTCTTGCGTAGGAACAAAATGATACTGCCTTCCCTACTCTTGCTAAGTGAATTGGCATCAACACCTTCCAAAGCCATTTTCTGTCTCAGATAACAGAAGGTGTGCGTCAACAGCGTTCACAGAAAAGCAAGCACTTCAAAATTACACTTACCACCAAATCTCTGAAAATTTATTGATTTGTTTTAACTTTCATTTAAAAATCAATTAGAGGGCCTCCCCGGTGGCGCAGCGGTTGAGCGCTGGGTTGCGAAGCTGCCCGCTGCCTCTGCAGCGCCGGTTCGATCCCTGGCTGCTCCCCGGCCACCGGAGGAGGGTCCCACATGGCGCGCAGACCTCTCCTGCCGCCCGCTGCTCCCCTCAGCAGTGTACTTCGGTCCTTCTGCCTGCTCTGCTCCCAGCTCTGGCTCTGGTGAATTCTCTCACCCTCCCGCGCTTCTGACTGTACCCAGTGCTTGTATAAATAAATAAAATAAATCTTTAAAAAAAAAAAAAAAAAATCAATTAGAGTTGGGCCTCCCTGGTGGCGCAAGGGGTTAAGCACTGCACTATGAAGCAATCCACAGCCTCTGCAGCACCAGTGTGATCCCCAGCTGGCCAGGAAGCAACCCACATGGCGCAGCAGACCTCTCCAGTCTCGCCCACTGCTCCCCTCAGCAGTGTACTTCGGTCAACCTGCCTGTTCTGTTCCCCACTCTTGTCTCTGGTAAATCCTCTCGACCCCTGCATCTCTGGCCTGTACCCCAGCTCTTATTTATTTATGCATAAATAAATAAATAAATAATCTTTTTTTTTTTTTTTTAAAAAAAAAGTCAGTCTTGACAGCAATTGGAACAAAGAAATTAATGTGTGTGGAAGGAGGTGAGGGGCATTAGATTATACCACACCAAAATATGACACTTTGCATGAGGATTATTTTGAGTTGAAAATATCTGACAATCAACTGACGTAGAAAGAAAGCCTTCCCAGAGCGTCTTTTATCTGATTAAAATCAGAACTCTGAAAAGTGGGGACTGCCTTAAAACCTCTCTCCTGGGGAATTTTTATGGCCATGAAAAAGGACAGAAAAAGTTGGCACTGGGAGGGGCCAGCACAACAAGCCTTGCTAAGACAGCTCTTAAACTTCCATTAGCTCCCCCATTTATTGACCTCCCCACCTTTAGAGGCCTCTAAAAGCCTAAAACTCCTTCTCTGTCTGGTCACATCTTTGCTATCTATGGATTTTTTTTTTTTTAAGATTTATTTATTTGTGCATACAAGAACTTGAGTACAGGCCAGAGGTTGGGGGGAGGGAGGGCGTGAGGATTCACCAGAGACAGAGTGGCGAACAAAACAGGCAGATTGACAGAAAAGCACTGCTGAGGGGAGCAGCGGGCGAGACAGGAGAGGTCTGCTGCACCATGTGGGAATCTCCCTGGCCAGCCGGGAATTGAACCCGTGCTGCAGGAGGCTGCGGACAGCTCCTCAGCGCTGTGCTCAACCCACTGAGCCACCAGGGAGGCCCTATCTATGGATATTTGTTTAAAATGGTGTGAAACCAAACACAGAATCAGGAAATGACAAAACTTACAAGCTGACAACAGCTCCCCCCTGAGGGGGAGGAAGGGAGTAAAACAAGGCAGGGAAGAGCACAACGGACTAAGGTGATGGCGCAAAGCCGCCATGGTGGTGGGAGAGGTACTGGGACTAGACCTGAGGGGAGAAATCAATACTGTCCAGAAATGAACAACGATGAAAGAAAATAAATAGCAAATTAATAAAATAAAATAAAAACATGTATTTCTAACACAAATAAGTAAATAAATAAAACGGTGTGTCATCTTACTCAGGCCTGTCTGCTCCTTTGGGAGTTTTCAACTTCCTTTCTAGGAAGGCTCATGTCGGGTAATATTAGCACTCAATAAAATTTATATGCTTTTTTCTTTTTTTTAAAGATGTATTTATGTATACATACAAGAACTGGGGTACAGGACAGAGGCGGGGTTGGGGTATGTGTGTGAAAACATTCACCAGAGCCACAGTGGGAAGCAGAACAGGAGGATCTACTGAAAATACACTGCTGAGGGGAGCAGCGGGCGAGCCAGAGGAGGTCTGCTGTGCCATGTGGGTCACATGGCCGGAGCTAGAACTCTTGCAGTAGCTGTGGATTGCTTCACAGTGCTGACGCTTAACCCCTTGAGCCACCAGGGAGCCCCTGCTTTTTTCTTGTTAACCTGTCTCTTGTCAGTCTAATTTGCAGGGCTCCAGTCACTGAACCAAGCAACTGAGGACATTTGGGAGAGGGATGGACAGGGAGGAGGAATGGAGTTATATTCTTTGATGTATTTGATACCAACTGGTTTGGTTAATGGGGCCCGGGCTAAGGGGACTACTTCAATCTCTTGGTATCGCATCCACCTAAGAGCTATCAGTGCAGTCTGCATGGTACACTTCACTCTCTCAAAGGTCTTCAGAGCATTTCTGCAGCTGCCAGCCATGCCTCAGATGGCCTCACTGCTCTAAGAAAAACAGAAACAAGTCCCGCAATGAGATGAACTGCAAAAGCACGTCTTCCAGGAATCTGACCCCGCGCCCTACCTGTCTCACAACTTAACTCTGATGGGGACGGACATCAGCACCTTTTGGTCAAGCTCCCATATATGAGAAGATGATCAAAAGGGGGGGAATTGTTAAATTTATTAAAAGGAGGTCATTAGACTATGGTATCTCTATGGCCGTGGTGGCTTTTAGAAGCAAAAGAAAACCTAGGCCTGTAAAAGGCCTAGAGATCAAAGTACTAAAGACAATCAATCAGTAACAGTCAACTAGACTTTCCTCTACAGCCAATTGATAAAATTCCCTGTGTTGCTTCTGCTTTTTCTCTATGAAGGTCTCTCCCCAAACTCCTGCCTAAATGGACCACCACTTCCCCCGTGGCACTGCCCTCTTCAAATTGATTTTTTTCCTCAAATAAACTCATTAAAACTTTTGACATGCCGGGGCCTCCGTGGTGGCACAAGGGGTTAAGATGCAACCTATAAAGCTACCCATGGCCACTGCAGCACGGATTCAATCCCTGGCCAGGGAGCTACCCACATGGCGCAGCAGACCTCTCCTGACTCACCTACGGCTCCCCTCAGCAGTGTATTTCAGTCAATCTGCCTGTTCTGTTCCCCACTCTGTCTCTGGTGAATCCTCTCACCCCCCCAACACACACACCTCTGGCCTGTACCCCAGTTCTTGTATGTATAAATAAATAAATCTTAAAAAAAAAAAAGGGCCTCCCCAGTAGCGCAGCGGTTGAGCGCTGGGTTGCTAAGCTGCCAGCGGCCTCTAAGGCACCGGCTCGATCCCCGGCTGCTCCCCGGCCACTGGAGGAGGATCCCACATGGCGCGCAGACCTCTCCTGCCGCCCGCTGCTCCCCTCAGCAGTGTACCTCGGTCCTTCTGCCTGCTCTGCTCCCCGCTCTGGCTCTGGTGAAGTCTCTCACCCTCCTGCGCTTCTGACTGTACCCAGTGCATGTATAAACAAACAAATAAAACATGCCTCTATACAAAAAAAAAAAAAAAAAACAACTTTTGACATGCCTCAGTTTATCCTCAACAATATAAAATACATAAATTCCTCTCTCAAGGTTGGAGTGATCTGGAGTCACACCCCTTCACCCACTTCCCCTCGTGTTCTGTTTCCAGCAGCCACACATACAATGCAGATCAGGAAAGAAGTACACAAACTCCTACCCATGAGTGCCAATCACTTTACCTAACAGCTCTTCATTCTCAAAACAACTCAAAGGTATAGGTATTATTTCATTTCACAGCAGGGGAAATGAAGTCATAACTCATCCAAGCTGTTGAAACCAGCCCACTGCAGAGCCCGGGAGAGCAATGGCTGGGCTACGCCCACTATCTCATGGAGCCTCACTATACATGGTTTATACCACTCATTTGATGCTTAATTATATGGTGCCTCGGATGGCACCAGAATTGCACTCTAGTTTAAGGGCTCAGATTTTGCACATGCTTCTCCTTTCTCCAGCTTGACTGTGAATGACTCAAGGGCAGGAATAGGTCTTCCACTTTTCTTGTCTGCCTTGAGCTCTACCCAGAACATGAAGGTGCCTTGCTGAGTGGGCACTCAAAGCATTTTTTTTAGATTTTTATATATATTTTACATCATTCTTCCTTTTTGTACAATGTGTGTGTTCTCCTCTTAGGTATACTCCCCATAAAATTCCCACCACCAATTCACCCATGCACCATTACCATAGTCCCTTGTGCTTTTCCCTCCCCTGTTTTGATCCTTCTCCTTACCCCTGCCTGGCACTCATATCATTTTTGCTGAAAAAACAATCAAATGCTTTTAGTGAGCATTATTAACACCTTTAAGGCTTTCATTGGCCTCTCAAACTTCCCTGATCCCTCCAAAGGGGCTGAAGAAATGCCTTCTGAAGAATCGCTGTCCTATTATCCACCCAGCTTGCTTATGAAATAAAGCTTTGCTAAAACTGAAACTTTCAGACATCAGACAACATGAACAGATGTGTTCATGCTTGGCATGACTCCATCAGAACAAAACTGAGCTCCACCATGAGCTACACAGCACCCCACCCACCTCGAAGCCCAGCTCCACTCGCACTTGGCAAGTGAATTTCAACACCTCTTCCACTCTTCTCAGACACTGCTCACGTGCCCTCTGGGCATCTGTCTGAAGCAGAAGGACAGTTGGATGAGAAGCACTCCCCAAACTTTTGTTTTAAAAAGAAGCGGGAAGAGAGGCAAGTTAAAAGAAAGGAAGCAGCAACCGCAGCCCCAGCTGTCACCGCACCTTTATGTAGGTTGGATCCCACTGGAGACACTCCTTGGCAGCCACAAATGCCTCGTTCCATTTCTCAAGACTGTAAAATGCATTGGATTTGTTGCACAGCAGCACAGCCAAGTCCCTAGGAGGGACCCTGTCAGGAAGAACACACTGGTGGTCATAAAGTTATCTTTTTGCAAATATAGAAAACAATCCTTGAAGGCTACTATTCTGGTGCTGGCTGCTGCCATTGTGAAGGGCTTTCAGCAGATGTCCTGAGTATGCCTACATTATCAGGCCTTCAGTGCCATAGAAAGCCTGAGGGAAGAATAAATCTGCAAAGTATAAATCTGTCCTTCCTCACTCTCAATCCTCTGCTACCACTTGTTAGTGACAAATGTTCTCAACACCTGGGTTTTACCTCCAACTCTCCATAGATCTTTTCATTTTAGGACTGGGAATCCTAAAGATGGAAAGAATGGGAATTCTCCCTGAGCCTTAGCACAGTCCAGATGTGGTAGGAACCACGCCATGCACATTTGATCTCAGTGGAGGCCGAGCTCATCATAGGAAGGGCCTTTCGGAGCATGTGACCACACCATGTGCAGGACCCACAGTGTGTGGGACAGGACAAGCGCTAGGCTCTCAGACAGCCAGGGCCACCCTAACATTCAGGGAGCCAGAGTCAGGGTGCAGTGGGGTGCACATTGCATGTGGCCAAATTACACTGGCCAATGCAGAAACCACCAGCCACAGGTAGTGTGTTCAATTTAAGTTAATTAAAATTAAATGAAACTTAGAACTCAGATCCCTCTTTGTAGTTCCCAAGTTTCAAGTACCCAGTAGCCACATCCGATATCAGAGAACATTTTTATCATCACACAAAGTCTTACTGCAGAGCGCTAGTCCAGGTATTTGAAGGCCATAAATCAAGTTGTTCCATAAAATATGTCCTAGCCTCCTACTTTATAATTGGAAGGCAAGACTCGAATTCAGAACAGTAGGAATGGCGTCAAGGCAGGGTAAGCCAGGCCTGCGCTCCTGACCACAACCTCTTCTCCTTCCACTTCACCCTTTGTCTTGCACTGCAGGAAGCCCAATTCCAAGCTCTGTCCATACCCCTGAACTTGGCCAACCCTCAAAGGAACTGACCGAATGAAGCTGAGCCCCGGAGAGACACCATCCCTACCTGGGAGCCTTCCACTGCCCCATCCTTCTGCCCTAATGAAACACCTGCTCAGTAAACCACATGCACCTAAACCCTACGCCAGCTGAGAGCAGCAGGAAGACAAGCAGCAGGTGATGGGCAAGGGGAACAGTGTCAGGAATTTCCCATGAGAGGCGACATGTGGCAGGTTCAGGGGAAGTCCCAGTGGTGGCAGCAGCTACTAAGTGGGGGGCTGAGATTTGAGCACTCAGTGTGGGGTCAGCCTATGGCCATCACCACTATACAACACTCTATCTCTGAGAAAACTCAATGTTCTGGCCTGAATGAGAAGCTCTTGGTCCAGCTTTGACACAGTTCTGGTCTGAACTAGGAGGGAGCAGAATCACCGTACTACAGGCCCATGCCAATTCATACTCAATCGAGTCCAGCTAGCATGTAGACACCAAGGTGACAGGAGGTAGGGTGTGGGAGTATTTAACTCAGTGTTTATAAATACTCATGTTTATAAATACTCATGTTTCAGTATTTAACTCAGTGCCATTTCCTAATAGGCTGCGGGCACCCCCACAAATGTTGACATCTGTTTCCTCTAATACCACTGTGTAATCTAGGAACCTCTGGGGGAGGGAGACCCAAAAACAGTTCAGGTAGTCCATAAGGACAAAATAGTTTCACTGAATACATTCCCAAACAATGTTACCTTTTATGGCAAAAGGGACTTGCCAAGGTGATTAATTTATGGATCTTGAGATTATCCTGGATTATGGTACAATCACAAGGATCCTTACGAGAGGGAGACAGAGGGAGACATGGCTACAGCACAGAAGACGATGTGATGACAGAAGCAGACTGGCAGGATGATGCTTTGGAGATGGAGGAAGGGCCCACAAGCCAAGGAATAGAGGCAGTCACTCAAAGCTGAAATAGGCAAGGAAATAGACTCCCCTCCACAAGGAACCAGCAGATTGTTAGCCTTGTAAGACTCATTTCGGACTTCTGACCTCCAGAACTGTAAGATAACAAATTTGTATTGTCTTGAGTCACTTAAGTTTGTGGGTAACTTAAAACTGTGGCAACGGAACACTAATACAACAATCATCCTAAGACAACATGCACCTTTTTCACGAGCATTCGCTCACAGGTGTACAGGGAATTTTCCAGAGGTTACATGACTCTCTCATGAGGTATCATAACAGGGGGATTGGAGACGCAGATATAAGTAGTTTTCTATTGACCCAGATATTACAAAGCTTTGCAAAGATTTGAATGTAACACTTCTCACTCATTTTTTAGCTTTGGAAAATAGGCTTATTTTTCACTGTGTTACATTAACACATAATTGACACTGTTAAATGGGTAAATATATGCATATTTGCATTTTTCCCCTCAGTTTTAAGCTCTAATATGGATGATACTGATGGCTACCACCTACCTACACAAAAGCTCTTTGGGGTCCTCCATTATGTGGAAGTTTCTCATGATGCTAAAATGTTTGGGTCGGGGTCTCTGGAAGGCTGAGGGGCAGGAAAAGAGAAGGTGAGACTAAGTTCCTGAGTGGGTGTGTGCAGGGTAAGTGACATGGACACTCAAGCTGGAATGAATGACAAAGAGGCTTGGGGACTTCGGTCATCCCAGCACCACCAGAGAGAAGAGGAAGTTTTACAGTGTTTATCAACAGCCCTTGAGTTTCAGTTTCAATTTCCCGGATTACTCTAGTAGTCTCTGTTCACTATCAGAGTTGACAGGGCAATGGAGATAAAGAGGAAGTGGAGGAGAAAGGAAAACAGAAACACAGTGGAGTTAGAAGAAAACATGAGCAACAGAGTAAGTTACTATTTACTTTAAAAAGAAAAAGAAGGAGAGAAAATCCAAACACTTACCCCCAATGGTATAACTGCAGGAGAATCTGGATGGCTTCATCGTACTTTCTGATGGCCAAAGAAAAGTTCCCATTCCGAAATACCTGGTTGCCAGATTCTTTCAACAGCTCAGCATAAGCTGCCGGGTTCATCCTGTGAGAGAAGGAGGAAGGCTCACGGCCAGGCTCCGGCCCAGCAGCACATCTGCATCACTGAGGGTCGGGAGAGGCGTTGAGTTCGCGCTGGCCCCACCCTCCTGGAGAGGGCACACCCGCGGGCACGCCTCCCTCCGGAGCCGCGACAGGATGTCTGCCAGAGGGGGCCAGCAGATTCCATTTCCATGTTAATGATTGGGGAGAAGGGGAGGAACCCTCTCTGGCGGCACAAGGAGTTAAGACGCAACACTGTGAAGCTATGCGCAGCCACTGCAGCACGAGTTTGATCCCTGGTCAGGGAGATACTTACATGGAGCAACCCACAAGGCGCAGCAGACCTCTCCAGACTCACCCGCTGCTCCCCTCAGCAGTGTATTTCAGTCAGTCTGCCTGTTCTGCTTCCCATTCTGTGGTGAAACCTCTCAGAAACCTCTCACAGCCCCTTCTCCACCCCACCCCATCTCTGACTTGCACTCCAGCTCTTGTATGCATAAATAAATAAATCTTAAAAAAAAAAAATGATTGAGTGGCAGTCAACGTGAGGAGGCGGCTTCCATGCCCAAGACAACATACACCTAGCAGGCAGTGCCCGCTGTCCCACAACTGGCACTGTCATTAGTCACATTTACCCATCACTACAGCCTGTAAAAGGCTCTGTCCCCATTGTTCAAATCAGGAAAAATCAAGGCTCGGCAAGGTTCAAGACCCTTGTCTAAGGACCTGCTGATGGCATACTCCCTGGTCCTCAGCCCAGTTCCAGGCATCTGCTCTGGACCACTGTGCATATCACCTACTGGTACAAGCAAAGCTTTGTGGCCAGTCCTTGCACTCAGCCAGTACTGGCTGAACAAAGGCAGCAGAGAGCTCAGCCTCTAGAAGCGGCTGCCAGGGAGGCAGGGACAGGGGCCCCTTAAGATTTCCCCATCCCAGGAAAGTAGTGGGAAAGGCCAGTGGTGGGGAGGGTCTTAAATAAGAGGCCAAGCCAGAGAGGGCCTATGCCCTGTGCCTGGAGGGTCACGTGATCCAGTGGGGCCTTGCTGACCCACACGATCTTGGACAGATAATCATTTTCACTATTCTTAACCATTTCAAATCTTGGTGAAGGGTTTTGGGATGGGATTAGCAGACCTAAGCAAGTCTAAGAGGTGAAAACGCTTTAAGTCTATATGAGCTCATAGGAAAAGGGGTTTTTGAACTGTGCTGCCTTCCTTGGGCAGAGCTGTATCAGAATGAAGCAGCAGATTCTTCCAAAGAAGTCAGAGAGTGAAATTCCACCTGATGATTTTCATTGAATCATCTCTCAGTTCTATGGCTCACATGTGTACCAAGATGACCGAGGAGAACATGAAAACATTTAAAGAACAGGGTGACTATGGAATAGTCTCTTTCAAATGTTGTCAGCCACATGCCCAGTGAGGTTTTTTTTTTAAGATTTATTTATGCATACAAAAGCTGGGGTACAGGCAAGAGGTGCAGGGGGTGAGAGGATTCACCAGAGACGGGGCGGGGGGGGGCACTCTGAGGTGGATCAACTGAAATACACTGCTGAGGGGCAGCACAAGTCAAGAGAGGTCTGCTGCGCCATGTGGGTCACCTCCCTGGCCGGGGAATGAACTCATGCTACCGTAGCTATGGATTGCTTCATAGTGCTGCGTCTTAACCCCTTGCACCACCAGGGAGGCCCCAGTGAGTATTTTTTAAAGCAACCATGACCACCCAACTAGAAAAAGGAAATCACTGAAATCACTGACAAAGGGTTAATACACCTCTTTGATAAATATATTTCCACTACAAGGAAACATGATTGTTAGGGGGAAAGAATGTCCTGGGCAAACTCCATACAGGCTTTGTGGACTCCACCCGTTTCCATCAAGACACTGGGAAATACATATCCCATGATCACCAAAGGGAAGGCTGCGAGGACCTGAGGACAGAGTTAAGCAACTATGTTCTCTGAGTATTTAACCAGCCAAGTGGCCGGGGGGTCTCTCGCTCTCTCTTGGCCACACCGCACTCAGTTTTTTGCCAGCTCAGCGAGTCATGGGGATTCCAGGTCAGTGGAACGGGTAGGACTCATTTACGAACTTATCTCCCTCTCTTTCTCCCTGATTTATTCATTTCCCCATTACCCCTTCCCTTGTAAATAAACCTTTTATCACCCTTTTGTGTATGTCTGCAGTTTAGCATTAATAAGTCCCCTTTAAGTGCGTGGGTGAGGACCCACAGTCAGGCAACCCGTTTTATATCGGGGTTGCTCTGTAACAGAACCAATACCCTGGCTAAAATGGGTCAGTATCCTCAACAGACAAGTCACAAAGAAATACAAATAATTGCTAAATGTAAGGGGAGTGGATGAATAGGGTCACCCTTGCTAAGTGAGCAGAGAAAGGAAAGATTAAAGCAACAGGTATCATTGAAAAACACTTCAAAGAATGACCCCAAGTGTTGGGAGCAGTCATAAACTGCTTACAGAACAAATATACTACAACATGCATAGATTTGGCCTCCTGGATGTTCACGAAAGTGAAAAACTGGAAATAACCCAGAACGTTCCTTTATGTGTAATGGATTTGAATCAGTTATAGACTATCCATATGGTGGAATACCACACGGTTATTTTAAAACTCATGTTGTGAAAGAACAGTTAATGACAAGCTAAGTAAGTAAATGAAAAAATACAGGCTGCATAAAAAGGCGTATAAACCTAAATTAAATTTTAAACACATATGATAGATTGAAAAGATGCCAAAATGTTAACAGCTGCACTCCTCAGATTGGGCAGGGTTTTGCTTTGCCTTCTTGCACTTTTCTAAGATTCCAATTACTCCACAATGTACTGCCTTAGTAATCAGACCATAAATATTACTAAAAGGAGACTTGCTATAGGGCTTATTGGAGAATTCAACCACAACATGTTTCCACTATATTTACAAACACAATAAAAACTATTCACATCCAAATTTTGCGTGTTTTTTTTTTTTTTTCATATTCCTCTAGACACTCAGAGTAAGCTTTTAATGTTATGTGGGCAAACATCACACGTATCCATCTGCTTCTGTTGCTGCTTTTTCCTGGTACAATCATGTCATGGGGGAGGGGACTATCAGCTACATGGAGGGTTTTTTGCCTTTTAATAGAACTTATTGATAGTTATACCCTCGCTACAAGGAAAGATGCCTTCTACCTCTGCTTTACAACACAGAGGGTTCAGCTGCTAAGTTTTTTGTCTTTACAACTGGACATTCTATTTTCTAAAATGAAATTGTTAAATAGAAATAGCAATAATTTACCATAGCCATAATGACAATACACTGGATAGCTAATACTAAGTGAGCACCTACTATGGGTTTTAATCACTGGGTCATTCCAGTCTTATAAGAAACTCCATGAAATAGGCACTATGGCCCCCCCTTTGACATACAGGGAAACTGAGGCAAAGAGAGGGTAAGATACTTGCTGTAGTCACAGGGGCAGGGGTGGCACTGGAAATCAGACCTCAATGACCTGACCTGGCCAAACCTCAATGAACCCACTACCCTCTGCAGGGCCAAGTGGAGGCTGAGAGGTCAGTGCCAGGCAGAACACGGCAGTGGGTCACATCTGTGCTGCCACCAGCTCTCACTCCCCGGCACGTTCAGTTTTATTAATGATGCAAAAAGTAAAAACCGTTTCACAGCTACTGGGCCAACTTTCAGCCCATTTCACTAAGTTCCGAGGAAAATTCAAGATGTAGTTTCTTAGGTGGGGTCAGGCTGCCTCCAGGAAGCAGAAACAAGAAATACACAAATGCACTGAGGTTTTGAAACAAGCAAGTTTGAAGCAAAGCAGACCCAGTTATTGTCATTTTTATCACTGGGCTTTATCTACACACATGGAATTCTCTAATTGACCTACAAGATTAAGCAAGAATTGCAAAAAGGGCTGGGTTCAGGGGCAACTAGACTTGGCAGAGGGAGGCTTTGCTTTCACTTGTTATCTGGGTAGTACTTGAAATCTTGACAGAAAATTTGTTTACTTTCAGGGTTTTTTTAATTATTAAATCCTTTCAAGAGATCCCCAAAGCAGTCAAGGATACACAATCAACTCTGGAATGCTGAGAACAGAGTTGAACCGAGGCCAGAGGAAGACTCAAACTGCCTCCTTCCTATCCCCACAGGAAGGCAGGGTAGACAAGGATAAGACTCCAAAGCCAGAACTCATTCTGGGAACTCCAATTTGTCTTTCTTTGCTTTTCTTTATTTTTTTTCCCCCCTTGGGGGAAGAGTGTACAAATGTAGGAGGAGAATAGGGAATTTTTTTTTAAAAGAAACTCATTAAAATCTTTTAAAAGGCCTCTGGGAAACTGTCCTTTTATCTAATCTCTACCTATAAAACTGCCACTGACCTTGCAAAACAAGGGTAAAAAAATTCTGCTGATAATTTCATGAAACTACTTGGTTTTTTGAGAGGGGGATAGCATAGTTTTATTCAAATTTGATGCCAACTGACCAACTAGCTATTCTAAATTTTTAGTACAGTCACCTTTAAAATCCGAAGTTGCCCCTGATATTCATATTAAGATTTGTCTCACTCTCTTTTTTCATTAAATTCTATCTTACTAAAAGAATAGTTCTTATGTAGAAGAAAGCAGAAACAGAAGTCCTGGAAAGATTAATTATATTCACACTGCTTTACAATATGTTTACAGGCTTAAATTAACACAGGACTAAAATAACTTGTATCTGTCCAAGTTGAGAGAACAGTTACAGATTTTCAAAGAAAAACCAGGGTAATAAGAAAAATTTTAATTACATTATCATAATTACATAAAAATATTAGGCATGCACACATATTTCTCATAGGAGCTTTAAAAAAAAACTCCTTAGGTCCTCCCTGGTGGTGCAAGGGGTTAATTCCCAGCACTACAAAGCTGTCAGCAGCCACTGCAGCATGAGTTAGTCCCCAGCCAGGGAGCTGACTGATGCACATGGTGCAGCAGACCTCTCCTATCTCGCCTGC